TTTTAACCATGTCAGTGGCTATTGTTAAATCATTCCAGCTAATCATTATTATGTCTTTGAAGAGACATCTACTGCCATCAGATACTTGAATCATATATTAATATTTGTCGTAACATATACAAACCCAGGGAAAGAGTACATGAAGTCTGTCAGTCTCAAAGTGGCACCACCAAGTGGAATGTGACTAAAAAGTGTGGGATTGGAAGCATCTTTAAGATTATGTGAATGGTTTTTAAAAATATTATCTTCAGCTATAGAAAAGTTACATGACATAGGATAGTCTAAGACAAGCAAATTTTTGAGCAGAAGTACTTTTTCCCTTTCTGGTTGTTGTTGAGACAGGTATTCCAGAAAATCCTGTGCATGCAAGGAAACCAGCTTTATCAGACTACAGTACCTTAAAGGTTTGAGCAGTTGGCCTGAGAGCCAAAGCTTCGCTCTTACTCCTTTTGGCACTGAAGCTATGAGAACCACAGAACTTCTGGTGGGTTGTTATCCCTCCCACACATGCCACTGGCAACAGACCTGACGTACTGTCAGAGTGGTGCCATTAGAGGCAAGGATCTCCAGAAACAGATTATACCCTTTAATGTTCAATTTCCTGGAATTCCTTTCCTAATGCTAGAACTTTAGGTCTTGATTTTTTTCTGTATTACCAAATTCTACTTTTTCTTCATACAAACAAAAGCACAGAATGGAAGAAAATAGTTAAAACAGTTAAAAATAACTTTTCATTATGTCCCCTTTTTGAGAGTTCTGTCTGAGGGATCTTCACAGTCTTATTTATACAGAAAAGAAACTGTTCTAATCTGTGATATGGACATTTTGAAACATAAGACTATAAGTCTGTTCAGGGGTTAGCAAGCAGCATCTTGTAACTTAAAGTGTCCCAAACGTCTTTAAAGTTTGGACAATACTTTGAGAATTAATAGATTTTCAAACTGTGAAATGCTGTTATTTATTTTCTGCTGTTGGTTCTGTCTCAAAAGCAAGTTTGTTATTGATAGGAGTTACTCATGTTAGCTCAGTCATTCCTCAGGTTTGGGTATATATTATTCCTCCAACTGAAAAAAAAAAAGCAGCAATTTAAGATATTTGTTTGAAAGTGAGGTTAAAAGCTGCATGCAGTGGCGAAGGAGTCTTCTTAAAGGAAATCCATACAAAACCAGCAGCAAACACTGAAAAAGGCAGATATTACTTGGAAAATGACAATTTTAGTGTAATTATAAACGAAAGGAAAAGTGCTATTAAAGTTAAAGCAATATTATTAAAAGATGTGCTAATTTTCAGTTACATTTTCTGTAGAAGACCAATTAGTTTAAAAGGCTTGACAGCATTAACTGCAAAACATAAGCACTCTGGTAATTATACTTTAAAAAATGATTGAACAAATGGGAAAGCATCCCCAAAACATCTAAAAGAGCAGCACTACAATTCCGGAACATGGGCTAGGTGGCACTGCTAGCTCAGATATCTGTGTCATAATTTCCTTGCTATTTACCCAGTTTCAGTGCCTATGATGCATTTCCTTTTTTCTGTGTTTAGACTACACCTATTTCATATTCTCATCCCGGATGCCGACTAAAGCAATGTCATGCAGATGTCCAGTGTAGGGTTTGGTCAATGACAGTAGCAAACAAGTATTTCATCAGTTATGATTTTATATTAAACAAAAGCAATTCTTTGCCATCACTGGAAAGTGCCTTGTTACTTTAAATACAACAGCACCTTTCCAAAGACATTCTGTAGATCAGTTTCTTATAAGTACTGGCATATCCAGGCCATGTACCCTCCCACAGAGCAAGTAGCAGATCACTCTCAAATTAATTTCAGTGTATTATTATTCCAAGGAAATGGATATCAGCTATTCAGTGTCCCCCCAGTTCCAAACTGGCAAGAGTCTGATTTTTGTGACAATCAAAAGCACGGACAGACAGGTTTTTCCTGAGGAGTGTTAAAGACATTAGTACAGGAGGAAGAGACCCTATTTAGCAGACAGTGACAAGTTACAGCTTCCTATTCACCCATCTTTTCTTGCTTATGGTTGAGCATTTTCTGATTAGATGCAATGCTGGAGCAGTTTGTCCTGAAATTTGGAACCTTTTCTCTCACTGATGACATAAAAAAACCCCAAAACCCATCACTTGACTGCACTCATCCAGCTGATTAAATGGTGACATCCAAATCCATCATGGTGTGAAACCCAAATTAAGCCATTGTTCCAAGATAAATGTTGCCTCCTTTGCTAGTACATGTCTTTACTTTGCCTTAACATTTGTCTAGCAGTGGGAAGCCTTTCTCTGGTGACAGTATTATGTTCCATCAACAGTAGATCTGGTTCTTTTTTCATTTGCATCTTGGATTCTGGCTATTGCTATAATTCGAATTACAGAATAGAGAGAGAAAGGGTTGGAAATCAGAAGACTTGCCTATTTTACTCCTAAAGGGTAATGAAATTACTAGTGCTATTTTAGACTTTTGCATGTTTTACCAATCACTGCAAGTCAGCAGTCTATAAAAAACAGGCTATTCTAAAAGAACCAGCATCCATCAGTCTCGGAGCAAGTGATCATTTCTTACCATAATTGGCCTCATTGTAAAACATATTTGAAGAAAACACCAGTGAAGATATGCTTTTACTTTTGTTTCATGTTCTTCTATGTTGATTTATAGATGTAAAACTGTGAACAACATTTTTCAGTAATACTAAATATCACTACTTAGAGAAGAAAAGGAATCAAAAGTCCATAATAAAAGAGTGGGGAAGGTGTGAGAAAAGACCCTATTGCAGAAAATGTTATGCTTTTGTCAAGATGTGTGCTTAAGATGCTATATATAATATATTCTTATATATATTACGTAAGAATATGTATAATATATATATTATAAGAATATATTGAAGCACATTTTTCCAAGGGCTTCTACAATTGCAGTACCTCCAACCTCTAGATCTGGCAGAATTTGGTTTTATATCCATGAAACTGGTGTCAAGCAACACTGCTGCCTAACTGCAGGAGCAAAGGATTTGTGCTCATTATTTTAGTTCTGAGTGCTATATAGCACATGCTGACAAAGCAAAGAGAAGAGACTAACTTTATTGCCTTTTTTTTTTTCCTTTGGATTCTGAGTACTTCCATGTTGGAAAAGTATAGCACAGTGAGAAGAGTTGCCAAAAAGAGCAACTCTGATTCTCACCTCGGGAACATCAAGGAAGAAGTAATTGAAGAATAAAAAATCATGCCTGGATGTCTTCTCTCTCTCACCATGGCAATTCCTATTAAACATCATGTAATTGCTGCAGACTTACGTTCCTGAAAGGGGTCACATTGATTTTTCTGTATGTTAAGAAAGGTTTGAGTATTGCACTTGAATTGTTACAGTGCATCCACATATGTAAGAGCTGATTTGAGATTAGCTGTTGTTTTAGACTAGCTGAATCTTCCTGAATCCCTGCTTATGTCAGACTACTCTTTACAGTACACTTTGTATTTAAAATATGTAGTGCCTTACCCAGGCTAATTTAAAATAATTGGAACTGATGAGATTCAAATATTTGCTTTAGGGCATATATAACAATAACAATATGTTCCTCTCATTTTAATTGAGTCAACAGGTGAATGGCATAATAGCCTATGTAAATAAGCAGAGAAGCTTGAAATTATGAAATTTCAATGAAATAGTGAAAAACATTGCCACGTCGGACTCATTTTCTTCTGTTTTATCTGTCATCTCAAGCAAACAATGAAACTGAAGTTTCATTATACAAAGAAAGAATATCAAAGTAACATGGACAGGAAGCCAGTTCTGCTTTTTGATCTCAGGATAAAATATTTCAACCTGTACCTCAGTTTACCCATGTATTAAATACAATTACATTATATAGATAGAGCAATGAATTTCGTTGAAAAGTATTATTTAAAAATTATTCTCTTTAGACAACAAGCACTGTTTGAGAATTCATTTCATTCATTTTTACTTGGTTGGATTACAGACATTTGTTCCAAGCTGTAAATTCAACAAAAGTCACAGATTCAGTAATGTCAATCCTGTGTACTCTACAGTGAGCTCATTTTCCCCTCGCATGTCCCCCGCACTCGCAAAGCTTCTGAAAACACAGACATTAGTGACATTATAAGTGATAGTGTCTCCTTTTTTTGTTCCTTTTTTTTTTGCCCAGTACAATGCATTGTGGATATTTAACTGAGTATATCTGAACTATACCAGTATACTTTTAAGTGAACTTGAAAGTCATTCATCTGGATTTAAATTAATATTTTACATACCCATTGTTTGCCTGACAGACCAGCAATGCTACAGATGCTGGCAAAATGTCAGTGTGGAGTAAATCTTCCCTAATAAACCACACTTACCCTATACCCTAGAGTTTTTTAAAAGGACCACCAGGATCCCAAACTCATCATACATTTATCTGGAATGAACTCAAGATGTTTAATTGATACATGCTTATGTCTGAACACTGTCAAGTCTCGTAATAAGATGTTTAGTACAATACATCGGTTAGACTGCTAGAGTCCAGCCACAGTAATAAGTAATGACATTTGCAGCACAAAGGCAGCTCCCCAACGAATTGGTGACAAGAGTAAAAAGGCAATCTAGCCTGTGTAAGCTTTAAATGTGGTCTGAATTTTACAATTACATGTCCTAAAGCCCATTATTAGACATGAAGGCGATGAGAAGGAAAGCAGTCATTGCATCACTACTAACACCAATTATAGGAAACATAAATCATTCAAATTTTTGTACTTTAATAAAAATCAGCCTGAATTGGTGTTTAGAAGGAAGGATCTAGTATAGGAGCCTAATGGGATAGAAGAAAATAGAGTAATTGGAGGCTGCTGTCTTTTCACTTTCTATATAAAATTATTTGAAGAGACAGCCAAGAACTTTAAACAGCAGAAACCCGGAAAAGTTGTAATTTGGATGTCTTCAGTTGTGACTTTAATGGTGTTTGCTTAAAGAGCTTTCTTTTATCTCTGCAGACATACTTCAATGACAATATCCTCACACTGATACGGACATTGGTAACAGGAGGAGCCACACCAGAGCTGGAAGCACTGATTGCTGAGGAAAATGCATTGAGAGGAGGTTACAGCACGCCCCAGACACTTGCAAACAGGGACAGGTGTCGAGTTGCTCAGTTGGCTTTGTATGATGGGCCGTTTGCAGACCTAGGGGTAAGATCATGAGGGAAATGTAGGACCAAGGCTGGTCTGCACTCTATTTGCTTTCTTTCAGATCGAGTGAAAAATCTGTCTTAATAAGCCTATAATTTCTGTAATTTAGTAGAGCTTTTGAATTGTTTAACAATTTACAGCACAGGGTGCTAGCTTTGCTCGTAACCTTTTTAAGCAGCTCTATGACTGCCCAGTGTCCTTGCCTGCATATTTCATACAGAAAATCTTGTAGCTCTTCTTTGTCAGCTAAAGAGATGGATGAACTGATTTGGATGATGTAACTATTCTAACAATAATGCATTGTAAATGTAAGTAATATATATACTTTTGTTGGGCTTTGATAAGCTTATAGTGTTTTCAGAGAGCTTACATTTCTTAAAATATGCTTATTAGCTTGAAAACAAATCTATAAGCTTTGTTTTCTGCTGTTTCTGGAAGAACTAAAATTCTTGTGAAATCATAATTTTCTGATATTTTGACTGCACTATCCTAAGAATAAAGTAGAAAAACAAAAAAACAAACAAACAAAATATAAAAAACCAAACCCAAATAGACAAATGATCTTTAAAAAACAGTGCATTTGGATAAATAAGTATCTAGAAATTTTTTTCTGGACCACGTTTTGAAATCTTGAGGTGAATCCCAAAGCACCCACTTCACTTTGGTGATGATGTTGGATTTGATATTTCTTAAATTAACCTTGTGTTCACCAGCTCTGTTCAAAAAGAGTGGAGCAACCTTCTTCACAAAAGTGACAGGGAATCTCAGTTCAAGGATTAAGGGCAGCAAGAATATACAGCTAGAAGCAAACAGCCTTTCAATTCTTGTAGAAGTCCAATTGTAGCTAAGACTAACAGCTCATCAAAACACTTGGGCATACAGCATAACATTTCCAGAAATAAACCAAGCAATACCAATCCTTTCAAATCCTTTCACCAGAGCCTCAATTGCACTTACATCTGTGAGGGCAGAATGCATTAACACCCTATTACTTAAGAATCACTCTTTTAGATACATGAGTGATCAAATCTAAACTTTTTTTTGCTAATCAAAACATTTTATGTTATTTATGAAAAATGGCATACATCTCATCTTTATTTTACAGAGGGAGATATTTTGTTATCCTTTTAACCCCGCAGAACTCTAATTTCTGTTGTGCTCCCTGGTGAATTTTTTTCATACTGGATGACGGTATGGCTGCTGCCAAGAAAGGGTCAAAGATACTAACAATTTTAATACCACAGTTAATATAATTTGTAGAATATGCATTGTCTGCTACCAAAATTTATATTTCCAGCTTAAAGCAAATCACTCTTTACAATTTACCATCATTTCAGGGACCGAGGCTCTCTAAAATAACGATCACTTTACATAGTTACTTATTTGAAATAAAACATTTAGATTATTCATTTCCTTGGATAAAAGGTTCTCATTTGAGACAAACAACAGGCTATCTATATATTGTCTTTTTTTTATAAGTTCATATTGAAAAACCTGATCCCCAACGTTGTGTTAACAGAGAAAAGAAAGGAAATAAATGTGCTGTTCTGTTGTTCTTTTTAATCTCTCCCCTCATTCTCCTAGGATGGAGGTTGTTATGGAGATCTATTTTGTAAAGCACTGAAAACATACAATATGCTTTGCTTTGGAATTTATCGATTAAGGGATGCACATCTAACTACTCCCAGCCAATGCACTAAACGGTAAGTCCAGTCTTCTAGAACATCTCAGCTTCACTGTTCTTCAGTCTTCTCAGCAAGGAAGATCTCAGGGCCTGTAATAAATCTAAAAAAAGACCTTTCTCCATTTTTGGCATAACTTTGCCACAATAGCTATGTCTTTGAGGACTTCACAATGACTCTTTAGCTGACTTTAAATTATAAGTTGGATATCACAGCATAAATTTTTTGCTAATTTTATTCAAAAAATTTTTAATTAAATTTTCAGAATTTATCTTTATTTTGTTTGATTTAGGATGATCCACTGTTTGCATGCGAGAAAAGGACTTCAGTTTCCTGATGTCAATCAAATGTAAATTACAGGATAATAATTCAAGTTATAGTAGCTAGTCTTTTTTCTGAATGCTCAAAAAATACTCCTTTGGGCTTCCCATCAGTGCTATTTGTATCTAATCATAATTTCTTCCAGTAAATGGAAATCCTTCCCTTGGTAGACCACATTTTTACTTCAGGAGCACCAAGCCTGACCCCAGTGCTTTAAATGGAGCAGACACATTTCCATCTTTGCAAACTGAAGGCCATTTAGTAGCTTGCTTGAAATGTGTCTTAAGTAAGTGCCTCCTAGAAATACACACACAGACCCATACCAGAAGTATCACAAATCTACCATCTGTTACTGTTTCATGCTGTACAAAAAGCATCATTATTGGGTGAACATGGCAATAAACAACCCTGCAGGCCACCAGAGTGGTTTCTTCTGTAAGGATTTGGACAAATTGGGTAGAAAAAATGATTTGCAGTTTAGATTTACACTACATTTGCTATACTTGGGTTATTTGTTGGATTATTAAGGGAATTCTGTCCCTGAAGCAGCTAAGCAGATTTCTTATGAGCACAGAATTAATTTGAAAAGAAATTGTGAGCTTCATATTCAATTTTTACTCATTTCTTGCTCCGACAGAAAATACCTATTGCCTTCCTCAAGTATGTTTTTCATGTGCATGATAAAATTTAGCAGCTGCTCTATAAGCCCTTCCTACCCTGAAAGGCATTAGGTGAAGAATTAGGAAATGCTTGAAACTGAGCAAATTTTTATTTTAGACCTGGGATTTATACTAAGCAATGTTGGACTCCCGGATGTGCAGATTTCTCTTTATAAATGCTCTTTGAGGCCGTGAATGTACATGTGGAATGGATGAGCAAAATTAACCTCACTACAAATTTATTGATATATTTTCCTTATCTTGTTTTATGTAGAGTCACAATCCAAGCAAATAATTGTAACCCTTGCTTTATTGACAGTATTTAAATATTTAAGAACTGTATATATTAAATATGTATTTAAATAGAACTGCATATAAAATCCCTGTCTCCTTGCTTTTCAGTCATTCTTTTAAATATTGTTTCTGGTGGGTATGTTACTGGTTTTTGTCAATATGTAAATCTGTTTGCTAGAGTCACTGCATTATGGTGCAGCTAGAGAAAGGAGAATGGTTTACATGGTATCTTCTCTGAAAAATCACTATGTGATTCACTTAAAGCACATCCTCCTCAGACATTATGTCTTTCCAACAGAGAACATGCAAAAAGTAATAGCTGATGTAAGAAGGTCCTAAATCATGATAGGAATTATGTGATCTAAAATTAGGTATATACTGCAGGAAACAAATGCAAAAATCTGGCTAGATCTCATGAGCTAGCAACTCTAGAAGAAATTTTTGGAAATAAATCTAAACCTGTTTTCTCTTTCTTTTTTTCTTTCTTCCTTTTTTTTCCAGTTATGTTATCACAAACCCACCGTATGAATTTGAGCTTGTGCCGACAGACTTGGTCTTCTGTTTGATGCAATTTGACCACAATGCTGGCCAGTCCCGAGCCAGTCTTTCTCATTCCTCCCATTCCTCCTATTCTTCCAGCAAGAAGAGCTCATCAGTTCACTCTATCCCATCAACAGCAAATCGACCGAACCGCACCAAGACCAGGGATTCCCGGGAAAAACAGAAGTATGTGCAGGAAGATAGACTTTGATATGTGTATCTACTCCCACTGTGTGTGAAACTTGCATTCACCACCCATTCTCCCCAGTTAATGTTTCCAGCAGTGATGTTCCCTGTTTTCCCATGGAGTTCTCCCTTTTTGTACACATATTTTGCATATGTATGACAGTGTGCATGTGATTGTCATTTTTATTTCACCACCATAAAACCCTTAAGCACAACAGCAACAAAGCAGACGGACCAAAAGTTATTTATGATGGTAGGGGAGAATAAAAAAGAATTTCAAACCTATAGGCACACTGAAAACATAAATAACTCACTGCAGTTACTCTACATATCCAAAAATAGAGAATATTGAACATGAACACTTGCTCTTGATGTCTGAGATACACAAAGAAAGTCATTTAGTGCAGAAGTGTTGATGTATGTTGAGGTATGGGGTTTTTTATATTCATATTTAGAGGAGCTGATACATTAATTTGAAGCTTATAAAACTATAGGAAAAAAAAACAACCTGCAAAAAAAATTCCCTACTGATTTTTCACTCTCAAAGCTTATATTATATAGGGCTTACACTCTTTGTATAGATTATTGCTACGCACCTGCTTTATACCAAAGCAATATCAGGGACTTTTCTGCTTGTTTAAGGATTTTCTCTAAAATACTAGCCCTTTGGAGATAGTGTGTTTTCCCTTTAACACTGATATTGTCTGGGCATGAAGTTTTAAAACTCCAATGGTTTAATTTAAGTTTAGAAAGAGTCTAATTGCATATTAAATTATTATTCTGTCTATTTATACTGCCACATGAATAGCTATATTTTCTTTCACTTTTGACATTTGGAATAAAAAGCCATATGTATCATAAATATTGGATGTAAGTCATTAAAAACTGCCTTCCTGGGACTTTTACGTCTTTAAAAGGTGAATTAGTCACCTTATGTACAGAATAAATAATGTTCAGAAAAGAGCAAGCATTTTTCTATGCTTACATATCAGATCTCGAGGGACTTTGTTCCTTTCCCCAGATGGTAGTTTAACTTTTCCAAGTTAGAGTGCTGGTATAAATCTTCCAGCAAGAGTCCTAATGTGTAAAGATCCTCCAGAAATCTTGCTGCATGTTCTGTTTTTTTTCCAACAGGTGCATGCCAATTTGCAGGAATACAGGGAAAGACAACTGAGTGCCTTTAAGTCTCTCCCATTTGGGAAGAAAAGGTGCTGTGCCCTAGACAGCTAATGAGGAGAACAAGAGGGATGGGTTGGAAATATTCACTGTGCTGTGGCATCATGTTTTAGGCACTTGCCTGAATTTAGTTCTTGCAGATTATCACCAATGACACATGTAGCCAGAAAAAATTGTGTCTGGGAACTAAATAAAGTAGTGGAAAGGAAGCTACTCTAGACAGCCATAGAAATTATACTTCAGGCTTGCTTTTATATTTTTTTATTTAAATTTCAGAAGCCAACCTTTTGATATACAACTAGTTCTAGGTATATGGAGAGTTTCTTAGGGTAGGGAGGGCAGTAACACATCCTCTTTCCTGACTACCCAGCAAGAAAGCATGCAGACACAAAATAAATATTTGGATTTGGAATGATTAGCATTGTAACTGCCAACTCAGACAAGGTGCTTTTATGGTTAGTATTGTTTTCTACCTTCCCCTTCCCTGAGCATGATAATTTTGAAGATTTGCTTGCTGTGTGAATTGACAATGAAGCCAAGCACTTTTACTGACAAAACCTGGAACCATGTAAGTGGGCTACAGAGAATACCACTGTGCAGTGCTAACCATAATGGTTGGAATACAGTATATATGTGTGTGTGTGCATTCAAATGCAGCTGTAAGTCCAATCAGTGAAATATGTTGCAAATTACGGATGCTCCCCTACAAATGAGGCTATTACAGTTGCTCTTCATCGTAAAGAAAAATTCATGTGTTTCTTTTTGCAAAGAAAGTTATCATGTTTTGCCCTGAGAATATTTATTACTTCAAGGATGTGCCAGTTAAAGTGCTCAACCAGAAATATGACAGTTTAAAAGCATTGTAAAACTTACATAGCTTACTTCTTTTTCTAAAGTGCAACAAGGATGAATAGAATGGGCCAAGGTATGAAAATTAATGGTTCTGCATGACCTAGCAACTGCTGTGGGTTTCCTTCTATAACTTTGTCCTTGTGAAAACTTGTGAAATTAAAAAAAAATAGTTACAAACTTTATTCAGTTATCGGTTTGTTTGTTTGGTTGGTTGTTTTGTTGGTTTTCCTTTGCCTTTTTTTCCCTCCAAACCAAAAGTAAAACTGGCTGCTGCTGCTGCTGCTGCTGTTGCTCAACCCTGTTTTATTTTTTGTCCTCTCATCTGCTTGCCTTTCTAATTGCACGTGTCCTTTTGTAAACACCCAGGTTCCTGCTCAATGAAGATGCCTATTCTGGTGCAGACATTAATTTCCCATTCCTCATTCCAATTTCTTTCCTCTCTTCCCCTCCCTACTCTCCTATCCCTTGTGTGTGTACATGAGCATCTTTTTATGTTGGCAATATTGATTGAAGATAGTCAAGAGCAGTTATGCATTTTGGAAGAATGTTAATGGCTTTGACACCAAAATGCTTTTCCATTAATGTTTTATCTGTTTTCCATTTAGCAGAGAAAGGAAGGGTGTTAATATGAAGCCACTTGTCACATCATACGTAATGATTTTTTTTTTAAAAATAGTATTTGTGTAACTGTGCAGCTCAAATAGAAAAAAAATATAAACAGTGTACATTAGAGAAGCAACTTGTGTACTTTATGAGCAGCAGAAGAGGAATATCTAATATGGATGCAAATCTGAATTCTTCAAAATATATTGAAGTCCAGTTCACGTTTGTCCTAAAGATAGAATTCTAAAAGTTTTACCTTTCAGCTATATCATGCGCAATTTCCACAGCTGACTACAGTCAGATTGATCAAATAGTTTATTACAGTGATAAAGATTTTCTGATACGGTTATACTAATGCAACTGGGACGTTGGTCATTACAAGTAGAGAAATGCTTAAATCAACCATGTTATGTTGGATTTTATGTTGAAAAGTAAGAGGAAATCTCCTGTCCTATTCCAAGTCAAACATCCTTAGTAGAATGGTTAGTTTCTGAAAGCTGGAAAGTATCACCAATGTCGAGAGAAGACTTTTTAGATCTTTAAATGGAGGTCCTGCCATTTGTATCAGCACAGTTTCAATGTTGGAAACTAGGTTCTTAGTGAGCTTAAGTGTTGACACAAAACCGTACCTAGCAAACCTGCAGGTTCTAGGCATGGGTTCCCACTGACTTAAACAGAGACTCAGGCATTTTCCAGTGAAATTCCATTGTCAAAAGTAAGAATTTTGCTAGTTTAAAAAATAGAAAATCACTAAGAGCAAGTGCAGAACAGAATTTTTGTCACAAAACTTTAGCTGTCTTGGAGCAAAATAAAGACTTTCACAGAAAGAAAGAATAGTTCCTTGTCTCTCTCCCTGCAAATTGCTTACTGCCTGCTACACGTAAAATACTCATCTGCCAAACAAAGAGTTGCTGAACAGGTGGATGGGGAAACTTTCCCTTTTTTTCTCATGCAGGAACAAATTGCACAGGAGAATTTTCAGCTTAGTTATAAAAAAGCTGGCTGCATGGAGGGAGGAGACACACAAACACATACATATAGACTAATTTGAAACTGCAAGTGTCACAAAAGAGAAAAAAATGTGTATTTTAAACAATGGTAAGGTAACCTGAGATTATGGTGAGAATACAAATTTAGTAAAATCTTTGTGTTATCTAGTACTTTACTTTGTGTTAGCTTTACTTCTTTACTTTACTTCTTTACTTCTGCTCAGAAGAGAGGGTGTTTCACAGTGACGTTTGTTCTAAGTTGTCCAGAAATAATGACAGAAATTTTAAAGCACCAGACTGTTGGAGATAATTGCTGGCGTCTTATACAAGTCAAAGAAATCTGTATTTTGATCATTTTACTTTAATTATTTATATCCATTTTTATGCTACAGGGAAGAGTCTTATACAAAAATGTTAATTTTTATTTATTTGTAATAAGAGCATGAAGCCTTTAGAACCTTTGCAGATGCACTGGGATGCTGATAGCCCATTAAAACACGAGTGTTTGAGAGGAAAGTAAATGTTTTCTGCTTTCTGAGACATGCAGTTACTTAGCTGTTCCAACATCTCTCAGGTGATGCTGTCAAAAACAAACCTGCCAAATAGTGTAGGGAGATCAGGGACTCTCTTCAATAGCTCTTAAAAAGAAATGAAAAACTGTGCCTATTATCTCTATAATGTAGAAACACATATGGTAAGGATCAATATGTGTATTCCAAAAGGGAGAGAAATCGGAACGTGACAGAGTCCTAAAAAGAGCTTGGTGGATATAACAATATTGAAAGACTTAAAAAGGGGATTTTCTGAACTGCTTTAGAGGATAAAGTAGTTTATTTAAGATAAGTAAAAATCTGTGCTAAAACTCCAGAAGACATATCACAGTCAGACTGTGAGCCTAGCATAAAAGAATGAAAAGTGTAAGACATTCAAGAAGGACATTTAGTAACTTGGAGCAGAATATCTTAGTGGTCAAGAGTAAAGATGAGGAATGTTAAGCTTACATTTCAAAGGTAAGTATAGAGGTTGATGAACTTTCACAGGAAATTCATTGTTATGTGGCCAAAGACAATTTTAACAGCAGAAAGGAACAGGAAAGGTATAAAACTGGGTCCAACCATTTGATACTGGAGATGCTAGTGCTTAGATCAAAGTTTCAGCACTGGCAAAAAGAAATCTAAGCAGCAGAAGAAGTTAGAATCTACCAGTTTCTGCAATTATTATTAATGTTCTGTATTTATTACTTGCCAGCTAAATGCAAAAAGAGATGCAATGGTGTCTTTTTAAAGATCAGCTCCCCATATATATGAGTTTTATTGTAAAGATTAGCATATAAATAATTAGCTTGTTTTGAAAATTTTTGGGAAAGCAAGGTGTTTGGAAGTGCTTTACACTGGCTGCTGAGAAACACAATGCAGTTATGATCCTTAGCACTCAAGGAGTTCTCCCCTTTCTTGCTACGACATCGAATTAACTTGCACCAAGTTCTGTTTGTAAGGAAAGTTTGTGCACCATGTGTTAGAAAAGAAGTTAGCAGTGCTTAACTTGTCTCAAAATCATTTTAAACACAAACCATTAGAAAACTGTTAGTTTGAAATTGTTTATGTGATCTCGCAAGGCTTTTAAAACATGATAACCATCACACTTTACACCTCTCTGAAAGGTTAGTTTAATCGTAGATCACATAAAATTGGTTTCCACAAATGCATAATGGTTCATGTGTCACACTTGAACTAAATGGTTTTTTAAATGGAGCTGAAATTATTTTGATGTGTACACATTCCCAGATTTTTTTTTTTTCTGACAACCTTTCTTAAACTGGCCCCCATCAGGAATCATTCCCTTAAAGTCTCATTAATAATTCAGATGTTCTGATTACTTTAAAAGATCTATGGAATTGAGGCTTCTTTTTTTTTTTAACTGCTTGACAAAAAGATAAATGAATGTAGAAAGAAGCGGTAGGAGTCTGGCAAGCTGTAGATCATCTCTGAACAGATTGTAACTTTATCATTCTGTCAGGAAGAATAATTTAAAGCACTTAATCAGTTAGCTTCAGTGTGCAGGATGTAACATTATGAATTCCTATCGTCCAATCTGTTCAAATCAAAGGGAACTTAATTATAATAGGTAAAAGAGAGAGGAAGATGGGAGATTGAACATTGTTCAGATTCAGGCAACTTTAAGGGGGTAGGGAATTATTCAACCTGGTCACAAATGAGTAGGATCTTTTTAAACAGAAGTAAAAAGCATTTTAGAAAATGACAAGAAAAACAGTATAATATTGCCATTTGCTTTGAGTAATGAGTAATATAATTCCTTTTTTTTCAATTTAATATTTTTAAAAAGTGTAAGAACGGGTAACAAATAGATCGGGAAAAAAAAAAGCTGGATTAAATGCTTATGAATTTGGGATTTGTTGCTGGGGAATGGGGGTGCTGCATGTATATTCTTGAAATCCATATCAAATTTAAGTGTTTAAATGGGATATTCACAAAAGTGACTGAGAAGTCCAGTAATTCTGGAAATTAGGCTACCTCTTGAGAGGCTCTAACTCCAAAGCTGGTTGCTTACTTTTGTGCAGTTATGCCCAGGTATTTGTCCTTTATTCTTCCCAGTCTTTCAGTTTCTTTTCTCTCCTTTACCTCCTTTGTGCTTGATCCTTGAGTTTCCAAGGTGGATTTTGCTTTGCTTATTTTTAATCATTTATTTATTAAAAAATGAGTATTTCTTCCACTCCTGTCCTGATTCCAGATAGTGCAGCATTTCAGTGGTTTGTAAAAGTAGCAATTTGTATTATGTAAGCAAGACACTAAAGCTTCTGCAGCATTTTGGGTTCCTCATTGGAATGAGAAATAGTGCATACATGTAAGAGCAGCAGCTCTGACATGGCAGACTTTAAATCTTACATATAATAATGAAAATGCCCAGAACCATAAGTGTCCACTGCCCTGCCCTCCCACCTCTGGAATTTGGGGAAGGAGGACAAGAATGGAGACCCCTGTTCACAAATGCTTGTCAAAGCACAAGTATGCCTAATGGCCATAAGCCACTCTTTAGACCAGGAGTTTCTAAGTCTTTGAATACAGCTATCTTATAAAGTTGCACACCTGTAATTGAGAAATTACAAAAGAAATTGCTCTCTAAAGGGTTTAATAAAATTATTTTTATTTTTCCTTTTGTGAATTTTAAAAAGTTTTTGTCCACACCCACATATGAGCAGTGCAATATAATGGTTACAATGATAAACAGCTAGGGAATGGCTGCAATGCTGCAGCCCCTCAGCATCCTCACTCCCTCCCACGTTGCTCCCATCCCACCTTAAAGCGTACCATAAAATTCCTCCTATGTTCGTGGAAACGGACACTGCCCAAAGATACAAAAGAAACAGCTTCCTCTAATCTTCCTTTAAGTCCTTGCTTCCTTTGCCTTGCTGTCACATATGACAACCAGTCCATTCATGATTAACTGGAGCCCCTACTACAGTCACCTGCTGCACCCGGTGTATTCCATACGCCTTCTTAAACTGTAGAGTTCAGCAGTGCCCAAGCACCGCTGTTTCGAAGTAACGATATAAATCCCACCCTGTGTAGGAAGGCTGCCATCTGGCAGCATGAATACAAGTCCTGTTTATTCTAGCACCAACTGCAGAAAGCTCTTTTCATTCTCCTGCATGATTTCTGAGACAGCAGTAGCAACCATCCGGAGGTTGAAATGGTTCAGAGAAGTGTCTGCCTCTTTAGGTGCTTCTCTGTGTATAGACTCACATGCTCTTTTCTGCATTACCCTTATCCCAGCTGCTCTCCCTGGCTTCTCAGTATCATTTTTTCAATAAATGAGTCAGAGAGTGTTCACCTAAGCATGGGATAAAAAAAGATCCAACAAGAAAACTTACATATTGGCAGTTTTCTTTAGTTTCTATTATCAAATCTGCAATCATCTTCCTTTCATGAACAGTATTTTCAGAGGTATTAATCTCATGCTGTACTGCTAGTAATTAATCAATCACCTTCTGTTGATCTATTTTCTCTATAAACTTTACTGACTGCTCCCCCCCTTTTATTTGAATGTTTATGTGTATATGTAGTTCACTAATTAAAACTTTCATTTTCCTTCCTTATTCTGTCTCTACCTGTTTCACTCCTTAGCAGAAAAGAAATGGTTTACAGATGAGCCGGATAATGCCTATCCCAGAAACATTCAAATCAAGCCCATGAGCACTCACATGGCCAATCAGATCAATCAATATAAATCAACAAGCAGCTTGATACCACCAATCCGAGAAGTTGAAGATGAATGTTGACTCCTTCGAGGCCAGAACTATTTTTTTAAAGCCTGACAAACTTCATGAATGGTGATGTGACATTTATTCCTCTTACATGCTGAACCACTGATGGAGAAGTTAAGAAGGGCAAGCTTAATGGGAAACTGAAGTAGACAGATCTTTGTTTGTCTGCCTTTAATATTGCTTCCACGTATTTTGGGAACTATTTCATTTATAAATGAACATAATCAAAACTAGTCATGTATAGCCTCTAGCGTTTTAAATTATTTTTATTTATTAGAAAAAAATATATTTTTTTCTTTTTTTTCATTGTCAAGTATTTTCCCTTAAAAAAACCTGCATGTGTGGCCAGACTCCTAAGAATTAAAAAAAAAAAAAAAAAAAAAACAAAACAAACAAGAAACCCTCAGTCTTTGGCTTAAAGGAGAATGATGGTCACAGTTATAAGGATGTGTAATTAAGGGAGGCAAATGATATATTTACAAAAAGGGAAAAAAAAAGGTCCAATTTGTATTTTATTAAATCAAAAAAAAAAAAAAACAACCAAAAAAAAATCACCCTACAACAATTCACCAAAATGTTTCTTTACTGGAAGATGTGTATTTTGTTCAACATCAACACCAGCTCTTAATAAACTGAACTTATTTATTTTCAAAGTCGAAAGTCATATTTTTGTACATGTAACATTCTTCTGAAATATCCTTTGTTTTATTAACATACATAGATCATCTTAATTGCCAGTTATGTGAGGGTCCAATACCCCCCCACACGTACTGCACCCTGCCCTGTCTCACGTGCACACACACCCACAGAGAAACCCAGCATCCTCAGTAACTTTCTGTAACGCTGGCAAAGGGAATGTCCCTGCCCTAAACCAAGGGCCGTGTAGATAAGGTGCACTTGCTATAAATGGCAAATCTGGCAATCTCACTTCACTTCCCATTAGCCATCAGCAGTTGCTAATTTCAGGAAGGCAGGTTTGGCAATTCTTTTGCCATGTATTACAGAGCTTTCATCCAGGCTGCATAAAATAGCGCATGGAAGCATAAGTTATAAACTATCTCATCTACCATACTTTGTTACTTCTTTACTTCAAAAGTGCTGATGGCCTTTCATTGGTCTGAATTGGTTCAAATGCTTCCTGATACATATAGAGATTTAGCTCCAGCTCCTTGCACTTTGGTGATAGCTCATACCTTAGTAAAGGACACACTGAATCTCCTTTTGGGGAATTCAGATCAAGATAAAAACTGGTTTAGCCTCAGCTCTATAATTGTGCAACATGCTGTCCTCAGTTAATTCTTGCACCAAGCAACATCTTATTTTAGCAGTTGATTTTTGGTTTTGTTTTTTTTTTATCCCTCTAATTTATTTTCACTTTGCTGGGACACCACACATAAAAGTACAGTAATAACCAAATCAAAATAATAATGAATGTATTTATTATGATAACATGCAAAAGGCCTTTGATAGGTGCCTTTTGTGTCAGCAGTTTCACAAAGTTGCCAACAAGCTTTATAGCCATCAGACAAAAATGTGATGTTTCATATCTGTGCTGCAGTACCTATCCACCCAAGCATTTATGTTCTAAATGATTTAGTAACTCTCTCTATCTCAAAGAAGCAACATCTGACACAATTGTATGAAGAAAAACAAAAAGAAAAGGCTGTGGTAATAAGGAAACAAAAACCAAAAACCCAAAACAGAGTAATCAGGAAAGGCGGATTTTCATTGTACAAGTTAACTTTAGGCTTTGTAATTTTGCAGAATTGTTAAACACCACAATGAAACATACTGTGGTATTTTTATCAGTAGAGAAATATCAGTGAATCAAACAAATACAAAGCAGATGATGAATTTATTGTGAAAACAATGATGTCCACTATATAATCCAACATTTAAGCCAATCTATTCAGCTTTAATGTTTGTCCACTGGCTGCAGTACAAGTATAACCATACTAACACCTAATAGGCTTTATTCTGGAGTGACTTCTTGGACTGTGACTATTTTGTTGTTACATTTGTAGAATTAGCTATTTAAAGACAATAACAAGAATTGTTAATACAGTATCTGTAAAATTGGATTGTTTCAAATATTTCACTCTACTACAAAGTAAAAAAACAGTTCAAGCAGTTTTTCATAATTATTTAAACCATGTTTAACACATTTCACAGTCCCCAAAAGAGAAGATAATTCCAGTGAGTTCTTCCGATCTACGCTGCGTCAGCCTAGTGACACATTATAATTTACATCCAGTTTCTGCGTTGGGTCATGTTAAGCCTTTTCTTTGAAGTCAGTGCTCCTTTTTCATTTATGAACTGCATATTATAACCAGAATGGAAAAGCTGGTCCTGGGTGCAGGTGAATTTTAGAAATTTGTGCTCAACCTCACCAAGTATATGTGATTTCTTTTTTTTTTTTTCTTAGAAGACTGGTGTTTACTGTAGAGGCATAGAACATTATATCTTATACTTTATCATACACAGTGCCATTTCTGAGTGTCTTTCCTCCAAAAGTGAGCATTCCTTGGATAAAACATACTAGTGAAACAAATACAACACTCCTACATAGCTAAGGTGTGTGTGTGTGTCTGTCCAGTTTTACTGTCACACCCAAAAATACCACACTACTAACTGTATATAAATAAAGGACAAAATCTGAACACACTCACACACTCTCCTGGCACAGACAGTTCCATATGTAGTGATAGATAGAACACCACCTGTAGAGAGCAAACAAGACAGAGAGAAACAGGTAGAGTTATGACTTTACATTTCCCCTTTACAGAAAAGCTAAAAACAATAGTCTTTTCCAACTCCTATTTTTGATGATCAAAGATGCAGGATTGACTTCTGGCAATTAGATGGAAGAACATGTAGAAAACCTGTTGGAGATCTTTGATATTCAGCCATTAAAAACTACAATAAGGCCAGCATCAATATGTGGATATATGAAGTTAAATTAAAGCTGGGAAAAGGCTGGGAAAGGGGCCTAAATGACAGCTGACAGACCACACGATGACTGATGTAGAGAAAGTTCTTGATTTTTATTAATAATTCTTAATCTTTTCTGAAAAGGCAAAAAGAAAAGGGCAGGGTTAGAGGAATTTCGAGTTTTTCAATAATTGCATGCACTATTGATACAGGCTATACAATTTTTTTTTGGTAACTCCTATTGGATAGATAGTGTGTTTGTGTGTGTGTGTGTGTGTGTGTTTGCATATATGCATGTCCACACATACACATATATGTAGACATACACACATATACATGGGGGTATATATGTATTTGATTGACTCATCATATGAGGGTGGACATCATTTTTATTGTCCATGCATTGGGGCGAAGAAAGACACAAAAAAAAAAAAAATATGTGGATAATAGGGTAGCACGTTAAGGAGGTGTATCTGCTGTTTCCTCCTGGTTTGACCAAAAAGCAGCCATTCCTGTTAGTTTTATGAGGGATGCACTGTAAGTTCACTGCAGACACACCTCCCTCCACTGCTGCAGCAGGCATGTGATCCTCACACCCATACACTTGCACATTGCCAGAAAGTCTGCTCTCTCTCTATTTCATGGCTGTTATTTTAATTTATCCCCATGAAGCATTAAGATTAAAGGATAAAACTGTCCTCTAATAGATTTGGTGGCAAGTGCCAAGCACAGCTATAAAGAAGATATTCATAGTCTAAATGCAATTTTTTAAGGCCTCTATCTGATTGTCTTACTGCTGTAAGAAATGTAAACATTTCCTTGTAGTTTTTGAAAATGTACTAAAACTGTCACTGCCATCTTAACAGTTTGTCTTTCAAATCAGCATCAATGGCCAAACAGTAGGAAATACATGTGACAGAAAGTACAGACCCCTTGATCTGGGCCAGGCATGGTCACTTGGATATGAAAAGACTTAATTGGCCTCAGCAAATGTGGAAAAGGGCAAATGTAGTTTGCATGCACTGCACAAGGGACACTACAAATTATTTTTGTTGTTGGGTGGTGGTGGGTATTATTGTTGGATATTTTTGGCCTGTGTAAGGAAGATTTCACATTTCTTGATCTCTTCATATAGTAGGAGAAGGAGAAAGTGCAATAGTGTATTCTCATTCAGGGAGGACTGGTTTTGTTGGGGTGTGGGTGTGAGTGTGTGTGTTTCTATGTAAACTACATCTAACATCTACTGCAATAATTGGGTGCATAAACTAATGCATGACAAAAAAAAAGCAATAATTTACAAATGGGTTATTATTCATGTTATCACTGCTTGATCACTCAGCAGCTAATTCATAATCATCTTAGCAACTGCCCTGGTCTAGCTGACTCACATGACTCAAGCTCAAACACTGAGCAGGTGCTTAAATTATTTTATCAAGAAGTGAATTCCTAAGGGCTCCTGGATCCCAATGTATTTGAAATGAACACAAATTGAGGTCGAGGTGTGTGTGTATGTGTGTTATTTTTTTTTTTTACAGCTGTTATCATTGTGAATTTCTTTAGCACCAAAAGAAGTGTGTATCTCACCTTTCATTTCTAGTTATAAATGTGCTTAAACAAAATAACCAAGTGTGTGAAAGGCGATGAACAAGACAAAGCGAAAACAGAAATCTGTTCCCTGTGTTACAGTGGTTTAGTCTGGGAATATCTGTCAAAATCAATGGCGAATGCATAAAAAAATTCAGGGGAAAGGAAAGCTCTTTATATTCTTTCTGTTGCTTTCCGTTCTTTGCCATCTGAACCACCAAAATCCCCAACATACAAACAAGCACCTTTTTAATTTAGTTTGTTTTTTAATTCTAAAGATGCTTGAACAATCACAGGCTTAAGGGAAGTTTTTTTTTGAAAACTCATTATATATGCACACCAGGTGTTCTAATATTCCATTAGTAGGCCTAATATTTGTAGTATTTTCATGCTGAGCAATAGTAGTGGGTGTGGGTTACAGCCCCCATCTGAAATAATGAAAGGAATGGAGTAGCTGTTCTGCTGTGGTCACTGCCTAGGAAGGTACATAGGCCTATAGTATTGATAAGTCTGTCTCAGCATTTATCAAAGCTATATTTATACAAGTAATGTATCTTCTTCTGCACAGATTTTCTCTGCTATAGAACATGCTGCCACACTGAAACTGTATAGTCTCTGTGCAGTAGTCTATATAACCAAGTAATTCACTGAAGTGAATAGCTAGGACTGCTGGTCTAATTTATCTGTTCTATTACAATGGTGTGTTACTGTTAACTGTCAAAATGAGAAGGAGTAAGGAAAATGAAGAAAATATAAAATATAAGGTGTTTCTTTTATTACTTTGGGTCTAATTTAGAACAATAACTTAAGAAGCTAAACACAGTAATGCTGCATCTAACTAGAACCTTAATGAGGTTGAAAGAAGGCTTCTTACTGCTTCAGTCAATGTATCTTAGAGGAGATCTCTATAACTTAAAAAAAGACAACCCAAAAAACACAAAAAAACCAACCCAGAACACAGCATATAGGCAGTTGAATATCTGTAATAGAAAACATAGATTTTTCAGAAACAAAAAATGTTTTGTTGACTGGATAATAACTAACAGGAACCGCATTAAAGTGTCAGCAGAAGTTATAATCAGTTAAAAAATGCCGCTTCTGCCATGGTATAGCTTGGGACACATGAGCTTAGCCAATGCAAGTAATCTAACTTCTGGGAAAAAAAAAAATTGATATAACTCTAACTTTCACATTTTTGTAGAGTTCAAGACTGATGAAGTCATTTTCTTCCTTCAGGAAAACACACACACGTCAACACATATATACAATATATTTTAATTGTTGCATATGTCTAGTTATAATTTGGGAGTGAGGATGCAAGGGGGTACACTGAGAACCAGCTACCATTTTAAGGTAAAAGTTCATCAAGAAAAAGGAGTATGACTTCATCATTTTACTTTTACCATTATGGGTTGGTGAGAGAGAACAAATGCTGGTGCTCAGAAATGATCTACCTGACTTTGTCATATGTAATATCCAGTGATAAAAATATTGTCCTGTAAAAAGGGTTTGTACATAACTTGTACATGGTTTCATTTTGTATTTTTCTCAGATTAAAATTTATGTATTTGTGTTCTAAAAGAAGGAGAGATTTCTGTGTTTTCTTTTTTTCTTCTAGAAAAGTTTGTAACATGAATAATACTTAATTCACGAAACCAATGCTATTAATACTTTGACATAAGACTAACCCAGAGCCTTTCTCTCTTGCTTAAGCTCCAGAATCAGCCTCTTGGTAATGATAACTTATATCAGCTACTGTGCAGGATGCTGTGAGGGCATAATTCTGCAGTAGCAACAAATGTCACCCTCATACCAGCTATGTAGTCAAATACAGATATAGTATGGTTTGATTTAGCTACTTTCCATTGATTATGATGGACTGATAATTTTGCTAAGCAGTCCAAAAATGTTCTCCTTTCTCATGATGAGAATTTAAAAATTATTTGCAAGTTTTGGACTGTGCTTCAATTGCAGCTCAGGAATTATGTATCATCCTATATGCAACTGTATGTTTTTAAGCTTAAGAAAAACTAAGTCTCCTTTTGGAGTCTGTAACATTCTGGCATTCTGCTATTAAATAACCTTGTTATTTGAAGTTGACATCATTAATCTTCTGTGCAGCAGTATCACCACAGTGATTTGTAATCAACCACAGTGTGATGAACTTTGGTTCTGAGTAATGGAGAGGAAAGAAGAGGAGCAGAGTTCTGCAAGAGCCTCAGTTAAGCATCTGAAAAACCAAGAGTACAAATAGTCAATTGGTCCTAACACAAAGGACCTGGTATAAAATGGCTACACTGGTGTTTGTAAGCAAATAAGGGTGTTTTGGGGAGGAAGGGTGGGTGGAGGTAGAAGAAGGGGAAGAATCAGTGCATGACAGTATTTGTGCGGGACTATGGAGAACTGTGCAAGAACTGGTTCAGCATCAATGTCAGTAAAGCAAACTGGTCCAACCCTCACTAAATTCACTTGTCCAAACCATCCTTAGACTCTCTCACTGAGGAAGAGAGTTTATGTGCCATAAAAACTCTGATATCTGTCTGAACAGTTCAATGAAAGGACTACACTATGTTAGTAAATCTGTATATATATGTATATATGTGTACATTTGGGTGTGAATATTTATATCTACACATATATGTCACTACCTACTAGTTTTTTTAGGCTCTTGACAGATAGATGGTGAAGCTTGCTATCAAAAACACTTAAATCAAACCTGGCCATAGAATAACTAAGGTATGAAACTGTTTTGTTATGTATCTACAGCCCTGTTACTCATCAGTACAAAGATTAGATTGAACAGAACCCCATGCAGTTCCCCTGAAAATTATATAATAAATCTAGTAAGCAAGCAGTGAATTAACAGGCTGCTCACACCTTTTCTGGACTGTGAGGCAGTCTTACTACTCATTCACAATACTTTAATTATATTATAATAATTAAACGTTGACCTTTTTTTAAAATTTATTTTTACTGAAAATATATGGTTCAAGCTAGAGAGGTGATTTCACAAACATAGCTTTGTGCATTGAAGGAGTACCACTGAGGGACAAGGGAACTATGAAACAAACAGCCCAAAGGCAAGGTCAAATATTTGCCATAATCTTCTATAGCATTACAGAAACACCTGAAAACAAACAAACAAAAACCACTGAAAAACCCCCATAAAAAATAATTAGTCTCTTTTCAGTCCTCGATCACTTAACCCGCCCTTTGTCACCTGCCACCCCTAGGGAAAAAAATACTATTTTGAGAAATACTGTAAATCTTCTCTCACTTCCAAGATAGAGGACATTCAGACCTATTTCTAAGGAAAAGGCAATCAATGATCCTAAGCATGATTTCTGACTGTACATACTTGACTGATCTCTTTAAAAAGCAATCCTCCTCCCTGCAGGCCCCAGGCCTGAAAACACATATTATTATACTTTTTTTTTTCAGAACATTCATTATGGTAAAATTTGCATCTGGGTCTAGTTTGCCTATTTTTACTTTCTCTTTTTTTTTTTTTCCCACCAATGAGACACCAGTATCCAGTAACCCGACACTTTCATTCTCTGTCAAAAAGATCTTACTGTCAGTGGGAGAGTGAGTTCACAGTGTCCCAATGGAGATGCTGGAGAGAGATGAACACACCTTTTCTTTTTTTACAACTTTATTAAATTTCCACTTTCTTTTCCTTTTTGAAATAA